TGGAATTTGGAGGTGATAAGCTTGAAGTAGGACCGAAACAGTTTGCATGAGGGCGTAGGTCTAAAAAGGAAGCGAAACCTGGGAGCTTCCAGTAAGTGCTAGTGGTACAGACAATCAGCCCGCAAGAATGCCGAGACTGACTCATCGCCTATGGCCAGGGGCCCCTGCGGTCGTTCGGGCTGGGTCGGTAATCAAAGCCTGACCCGCTACGACGGGGCCTAACCTGAAGAGACCCTGCTCAATAGATTGGGTGTCTCTTAGGTAGTAGTTGATGAGGACGTTCTGCCTTCTCCAGAAGCCTGCCCTCAGAATGTGTTCGAGGGGGGCGCCTGACACTAGCGCTAGTGAGTTAGCAATTGCACGGACCTCATGTGCTCGTACTTGGTGTCTCTGCAAGGTCTGTGTTGAGGAGGATAGTGTATTATAGACCTCCAGTACAGTCGCAGTAATCCACCTGGAGATGGAAGTGGGGGAAGCCGGCTTATCCTGTTTGCCAGGGCCGTAACACAAAAAACATGTGTTTGGTTCCCTGTCTGGAAAACCTGGTACGGTTCTCGTAGCAACTCGGTGCTCGGACAGGCAGAGAAGCAATTCCTCCTGATCCTCCGGACCAACAATATTTGACAGCCGGGGGATGACAATCGGTTGAGGATCGTGTCCTGGGATTTGATTCTTGAAGAGAAACCCGATTCGTGTCTTTAGTACAACTTGATTGTCCATAAAGGACAGTGCACCTAGCTCTGACTGGTGCTTACCTGAGGCGAGGGCCAGTAGGAAAACTGTTTTCCACGTCAAAAACTTGAGAGGTGCTGAAACGAGGGGCTCAAAGAGTGGTCTGCTTAGGGCTGCTTAGGGCTGATAAAACAACCGACAGGTCCCAATTGGGCGGTTCCCTTGAACGGGCCCTTGGCCTCTGATTATGGAAAGCAGTAAACAGTCTCCTAATAATGGGACAATCGGCTAGACTTGACCCCAAAGAGTTTTCTATGGCGGGGGACAAGGCTGACCTGTAGCCAACGAACGCTGCGTAGAACAGACCCACTTCGTCAAACAAGTGGACAAAGAAGTCTGCTACCTAGCCGATAGAGGGATGGCATGGATCAATCTCCCTTCCACTACACCAACTGGTGTATGCTCGCCATTTGGAGTCGTAGGCAGCGTTGGTGGAATCCCTGTTCGCCCTGGCCAGGACGTTGGCAGCCCGCTTAGATAGACCTTTCATCTGCGCGAGTCTACTGAGAGCCTCCATGCGTGTAAGTGGTACACTGCTGGGCTTGTTGATAGTGTCCCGTCTGGTTGGGACAGCAAGTCCGGTATGTCTGGCAGCACTACCGGTGTTTCGACTATCATTTCCAGCAGGAGCGGAAACCAGGCCTTGGTCGGCCAATTGGGCGCCACCAGAGTTAATATGCAGGTGGGCTTTTCTCGAAGTTTCTCCAGCACCCGGTGAATTAGCGGGAAGGAAGGAAAGGCGTACGCATCCATGTGGGACCAGGGGATCGATAAGGCGTCTACTGCCCAGGCTCCTGGTCTCGGCAGAAGTGTTACGTACAGCGGAGGCTTGGCGTTCCGGGGTGCGGCAAACAGGTCTATCTTTGGGTTGTCCCACAGCCGAAACAGCCTAAAGGCCACTGGGGGATCTGCCACTCCATGTTCTGGAGACGGAGGCACCTCGAAAGGGCGTCTACCAGACCGTTTCTCACCCCTGGAAGGTGGTGTGCGGTTAGCTCCACATTGTATTCCAGGCACCAAAGAAGAATTTGCTTTGCTAGGACCGACAACGATGGGGAAGCGTCCCCCCCTCCTTGTTGATGTAGGAGACCACCGCTGTGGTCTCGAACTTCGGGTCGAAAGCGTGAAAATGCTAGGTGCACTGCTTTCAGCTCGAGCTCGAGTTGATATGGTGGTCCCAAACCGACTGTGGGGGCGATATTCCTTGGGCTTGTTTGTCCAATAGATGCGCTCCCCAGGCATCTGTTACCAGAGTCATAGCTGTGACGAGTGGGTCCAAGGGGAACCCCTGTCTGAGGTTGGTCAGTGACGACCACCAGGACAGAGTTTCCTTTACTTGGTCCGGGATCAATACTCGCCTGATTTAGTTTCCGCAGGTGAGCTCGGAGTTCCAATAACAAGCGTTGGGCCGGGTGGCTGCATAGTGCGCCTGGGGAACTACCCTTCGAACGGAGGTCATCATTCCAATGAGCCGCATTAGTTCTCGAAGAGACACTGATGGAACGCTGACTAGGCGTTCTGCTAGGTTGCTTAGCGTGAGGCAACGCGCTTGAGATGGGTGAACCAGGCCTACTTCGGTGTCAAACTCCATGCCCAGAAACACCAACTGTTGAGTCGGGTTGGGATGGGACTTTTTGTGATTTACTAGAAAGCCCAACTGGTGAAGTAAA